GGTAGAGTGATCTTCATCCATTTCTTTGTACAAGCTGCCACATCCATAGTGTGAGCCTGATTTGATACCGCGAACCTGAATACATGTGTGGGTCTCAATAGATTGGCCAAAAATAAGACATTTCAAGCAACGAGGTAGACCGAACAGAAACATTTACATGTAGATGAATCATAAACGAAGTAGTAGGAAATTCCTCTCAATCACTTACCTTTAACGGAGCTCAACTATGAATTTTAAATATGAAAAAAGAAAAAATTTGCCTTGGCAAAGGGGCAAAGTCTTGCCTGAGGAACGATTTAAAGTTCACAGTACTACAATAATTGAGGCTACAAAATCGTATAGCAGAAAACTCGAAAAATCTGGGAGAACCTAAGTTCACCGCTCAAAAAAGGTCCGCAGCGCCGGAATGTGTATAATATTGTTCTATGAAAAAGGGATCCTGTATTTTTCTTTGTGTCATGTCGACATTTTTGCTACATATACATCAACCTCAACTAACTTTGTCTTCGTTTTCTCCAAGGATGCGTAGGAGGAGTTCCAGAAGCGCTTGCTCTTTGTTTTCATCCTTGACATCACTGAATATTCATATACAATTTTAGGTAGTACAAAATAGGAAGACACCTCAAGGACCCTTGTACTAACGCTGTCCCTTCGAGCTTCAGGTCAGCTTTTCTTGAATCCGTCTTCGAATGCGTTTTTAATTCGTTCTCCGCTTCTTTCCGCCAATTCACCGTTCCATTCCTGTGTATGACTTTTAGAATCCTGTCTAAGCAGCTAATCGTAAGGCGGAACCACCGAAAAAAAACCAACCAGGTCTCCAATCTCCTCTTCAAGGAGAACGTCGATGGGATCTTTCATGAGTTCTGTCAACGATTCTACCTGCGACGCTGTAAAGTGTGTTGTTGTATAGTTTAGAGTGTCCTCAGCCATCAGGACTCAGACAATCACGACAGTGTGTTATGTATACTACAAATTAACATTTGTAGCACTTACTTTGAGCGCTGACATCCAGAAGAGAGAAGAACAGAAGTGCAGTTATAAGAAGCATTTCGGATGCTATGATTTTGTCTGTCCCCCCCCCCCTATTTATAGCCGACGACGGAGCTCTTTAGCTGTACATGATCATACATCTAACGAAGTACTTTGCTGTCACAGCTTTCGCCTGATGAGTTTCTTGCAAACAGTCCTGTTTTTTATGGTGTTGTCAATCAGAATCCACGCAGTCTGTGTCAGCGGGATTTGCTCAGGTGTAATGGAATTCTGCAAAGTTGGAGCACAACGACACAAAGGCCGTCACGTTATCTTCGTTTTCACCTACCATCGCCTTCGTAATGGCCACTGGAAGAGGTGGCTGTTTCGAAGGGAGCGACCGCTAGCAAAGTCCCATTCACTACCATAGTTTCGTTGACATAGTTATTTTTTTGCGAATTTTTCAGTAGGTTTTTATACTTCTTTCCCTTCAAACAGATTATTCTTAACGAGATTTAACCACAAGCGATTTTTTGATGCGCTGCTTAGAGTTCCCTTTTTTTTACCCCCGCACACCTATTTCTCATGAAAGAGGGGACTTATGCGGAATTGCAGATTGCAGAAGGACAGAATCAATACCAAAGTTCCTAATATAGGAAAAGCAATCATTACTGGAACCAATAGAGTCGAAGTGAAGCTTACAGAGAATTGAAAATTGAGTTACCGTTGTAAAAGACGAACATAAGACTGTCTCATTCAACGCGTTCGAATAATGTGATGTGAGTGATGATCGTTCTAAGGTGACATCATAAGTAAGTGGCTTGACGTTGTGTTCCAAAAACACATGAATTCCAAGGAAAAACATGTTTCTTGGGCTCGACACTGATCTTCGTATCGTAGAGCTAGGTAATACATATGTACTATATGATGATTTCTACTTAACAGTGACATTTTGATCGAAAGCTCGTCCATGAACCAATCGATTAAGCTAGAGAGTTGTTTACAGGGTATCTCGACGAGTAGAAGACGAAAATCATACCAGTTTAGCGTGAGCTTCCCGCCTGCGCCACAGGCGCCCGTGCCATCACAACAGTTTTCCCGCGGTGACCGGTCGCGCAGCTAAGGCTTCTGCCTCGAACGACCTAATGTCTATATTATGGTCTACGTGGCCCAAAGTCTCCTCTAAGGAATTCCTTTAGGTGTCGATATGTTCTGACGACTTTTGGCGCTGGAGCTTTAGCACTCAGCCAGGCGTTTTTAGAGGTGAACGAATTGAAATTCGATGTTCTACTGTTAATAATCACCTGAAGCAGTTTAGTAAGGCGATTCTACATTTATGGACAATATTTCGGTTAAACCCGGCTCACTTTTCGAGAGTTGAGTCAGTAAAGGGCTGAATACTACACGTGTGATTTAATATTACGGCAGCTGCGCAAAAATAAAAATTATAATATCCAATCTAGTCACAGCTCTATGCGCTGTTGACATGAAGTTAATAGGCTTATTGTATTAAATGGAATCATCATTACATTTCTTCATTACAGTGCACTACATCCTGATTTCTACTAAGAAAATCTCACTTTTCAACGAAAATTGGAGAATGTTGAGATTTTTGTGATCGTTCCGGGCGTCCATTCAAATCTACCGTACTGTCTATCAATGTCTTTACGTAACTTTGAAGACAAAAGTACGACATAACTTTGAAGACAAAGGTGGGCACTCTAAGACACATTTACGGCCCAAATCGTCCTGTAGCGGTGCTCAGTATGCAAGTGGTAGCGCTATCGAGGTACGTGGATTTCCTAGCGACATCGAAGAGCACATTCGTAGATAACTACTATCCAACACCAAGCGCTCTGGTCATAAATCATGATTTGAGATAAGCTATTTATGGCATTCTTCCCCATATTATTGCAAACCCTCCCAGAGCCCTGAACGCGCTTGTGACGTTGTTGACACCACCTCCAACACCTTTCCGTCAGTGACACCTAACGGCGTCATCTAAACCGTTACGCCTGCAGCAAGCAATCCTCTGCCTTTACATTTGTGTCATAGTGAGGGTAAAAACGAGCTAGGAGGGCTCGGCGTTCAACGAATCATTACATAAGATCATAAGAATCAGAATATGATCGCCGCTTGTTGTGCTGCTCCAACTCCACCTTAAGACCTCATGTAAGGCGGAGGCACAAATGTCACCTCTCCTATAGCGCACATCGCCAACATTTTCGTCCCTCCCCCTCATGAGTAAGCAAGTCCTCCTTCACTGCCTTCACCGTCTTCAGAATATGACGTCTGCCACATTCGAGCTCAAGAAGACTCATGCAGGCCAGCCATCGTTTCGGAAACGTCTTAAAGGCCCACCATCTTCAAGTCATGCAGCACGTTCTCGTGGCAAACTCGTGGGATATCGTCATTGTAGAGGGCTACTACTGGAGTTTTCTGATAGTCTAGAATGTGCTCTCCAATTTTCATTTGGGACCATTTGGTTTTGATTGAGCAAAGTGTATTCGATTAAGTTTTAACTATGGAAGAAGGTGACTTTGATTGCCATCTTTCCTGTGGAGTGTAGAGACAGAGAAATTTCGAGCCAGAAATACTAAATCATCACCTCAGTCTTATGCGTTCCTGACCTACAGCTCCTGACACTTTTCAATCAATCTAATATATAATAGTAACCAAAAAAAGATAACGCTTGAGATTTTTGTTCCTTCTTCCTTTTTGGGATTTTGTGCTCCTCGTTTGTGTGAACGAATTATTGGAGTGATTTAGCAGACGTGAATTCAGGATAGTAAGCAAGTGAAAGGGATAATGTTCAAATGATCAGTGACAAAGTTCTGTTCTAGAAAGCAAATGTCTTCTCTGACAGTGTTTGAACATACAGCAGGTGGTGCTCAGATGGAAAAACAGCTTCCATGCAAAACGTGCACGACCGGAGTACTACTGTAATGGGAACCGTAATGAACAGTTCTATATGCAAGTGAAGTATGAAAAATCACCGCCGACCTCATATGGAAAATAAATGCTTGCTACAAACGCTGTCTACTTTGAATTGTGAACGTACAGTACATGGGGGGGGTGCTACGTCGCTTCTCAGAAGTCTCCACGTGGCTGTGGAACGGCTAAGACTTGGGTTGGTTACTTCTACACATGCCACCTCGCCATTTTAGAAGGGCCATGCGCAGCGTTCGTCCAGGAGCCGAGAAAGCGCGAGGTAATTGCTTTGCGTCATGATTTTTTGCCGATAATTATGCTGCGTGGACTGTTACTGTGCAACAAAGTATAATAGTAGTTGGTTTGTAGTGACAACATAATTCAATATGAGATGCATATTTATATGCATCTTAACACGTTGGTTTCAAA